TGTAATGCGATATATTTCGCACTAACGTGGTATTTGAGTAAATTCGATATTTTCATGCCTTCAGAAACGATTGACGAATTTAGTTTCGTTTGCGATTTCCTGCATACTACGTTATGCAAATAAATGTCAACGAAGTCAGGCGAGAATCACATTAAAAATAGATATTATAGTAAACAAGTCGATCTTTTCTTTAAATGTCAATTTTTTTTTTCTAAACTATACTCAACCTGTTTTCCTCGCATTCTAATTGCGGGATTGGTCGATCCGATGACGAACGAAACTGTATAACGGGACTCGAAAATTGTCGATTCGTTTTATCGAAAAGCTGAAACCGAAAACGGCAAATGTATCGGCCCGTCGAAACCACAGATTCGATTGACCGGCTTGCCCCCCGTCCGTTTCCAATTCGTCCCGCCGAATGCCGGACGCTGATCTTACCCGGCATTAGAATCCAATCGCGTTTAGACGACAATAAGATAATCGACTGTAACCGAACACGCGCGTTGCGCCGCACGGACGGCGGATTGATTAATGCCATATTAACGTCGCTTCGTTCGGGATAGCATCCAAATGAAATTCCAGACACTCCATTGCGTGGCTCGCGTCTTCCGATCCGCTCTCATAGTTTGCGGAGTGCACGCGGATTTTAATGACTGTCCTTAATTGGTACAAAATTGCTGCTCTAATTGCTGGTGTAGAGCGAAAGAGAAAAGGAGAGAGAGAGAGAGAGAGAGAGAGAGAGAGAGAGAAGAAGAAAAGAAGAAGAAGAAGAAGAAGAAGAAGAAGAGTACGCCGCGCCATATAACTTCCGAGCTCACGACGTAATTAAAAACCAATGTACTAAACCACACTCGTGCGCTCTAATAGAGCTGTTTCCATCTCCGGAATCACCAAACCGCTGTTTTCTTCCACAACCCTGCGCTCGAAACTCCGTTTCTTCGTGAAATTATCGATTCTTTTTTTTCCTCTTGTTCTAGTGATCATGACATCTTCCCAAATGGCGCTACAAAATCAAGATAAAACACGAAACAAGTTCTTCACTGTAAAATTATAATGCGTCTGTACTTTGATATTTATAACGTTAAACGTTTAAAAAATATAATCAGACATATACAATAATAATAATAATAATAATTCGATTATTCGATAATCTCGATAATTGTCATGATCGTACACAACAGCAAAATAAAAATAGTGTTACGTCTCGAACATTGCTCGAAACCGCATTGCAATCCTTATCGTACAATATAACGCAAAGTCAAGGTATTTTTAAAACTTTAGAAAGAATTAATATTAATCTTTATAAACGTGCGCAATGGTTTGTTTCGCCATTAATGGATCGCTTCCGGGTAACGGGGAAGCGCCGCGCGACTCGCGACGCTTTAACGATGATGCGGAATTAGGCGGCGCTACGGGGAGTAACCGATTGTCGGGAATATAAACGACCGTTGCGTCGCGCGGGGTGCACTCAAAATGCATCGTACGTTAAAGTCTGTAACGTTCGCGCACGCGGGCGACCGAAATTGGGTCGCCGCGATGCGGTGCGATGCGCCACGATCTAACCCTTTGATGTAGCGCGGCGTGTGTACTCGTTTATTCGCGATGGTGGCGCGGTGGTGAATGCGGCATACGTCCCTACGCCACGCGACGATATCAACCCCCGCCGATCTTTTTCGGGCTTGGGAATGGCTTCTTATAGGAGGAAATCGCGCCGGCGATCATCATTCTGTATGTTCTCGCGGTTACCGTTCATGCGGGATGTCCCAGAATTTTTCGGCAGAAAATAAAAATGGATATCAGATAAAAGACAGCGTCTTCAAGTTTGCAGAAATAAATGAAATGGAATGGCTTTTACAAAATGCCCTGCATATTCTAATATTTAATTTCCAGCGGCTGAATTTTTTCAAATATAAAAAAAAAATGTCTTATTGTTAACTGCGCACTTCTTATCGGGCTTTTCTCATTTGTCCTAATTGTCGATTGTATTTACATCGAGAATCTGATTATTGTTAATTTAATTTCTAATCGTTCGAATTTTATCGCTTGAAAATTAAGAAAGAATTAAAGCGTCGCGGAGCGACGCGATGGGTGATCGTGCGAAATGTTTCCAAATGTTGGCCCGGCAGCAAATTGGAGATAAACATACCAAAGAATGTGAAGGTGTGCTTGGGACACTCCGTGAAAAGCGTTGTAGGAAAAGCTTCGCGCTGTTCTTTGCGCCGCTTATTACAGTATTCACGTTACAAGCATATATTTATCGTAATACGACGCTACCGCGCATCGCGCGTTATAATGAAATTAGAGTAGTTATGCTCGAATATAACGTTGAACGTGACGAGATGGACAAAGTAAAGCAGACAATTAAAAACGCATGCGGCAGCCTCGCTCGGCAGTCTGTAAATGAGAGTTTAATGCGGCCCACTGGGTTACTGCGCGCATGGATTAAATACGCTCCAAATCCACGACAGCAATTACGTTATTAAAACGTTGTTTATGCGTATTAAACGTCACTCCTCGCCACGATCCCCTTCGCAGTTACGTATTTCCGGAATATCTTTAATAAATTCACTCGCGGCTGCCCCATAACGCACGCTCGCCATCCTTTAAGTTCACCGTGTCAGCTGACCCAGAATTTATATCGCGATCGATATCCTACGGAAATAGATGAGAAGAAGCGTCGCGAATAATTGGACGTCGATAAATTGTTAATGGCGAGCGAGGGAGACGGTGATATATAAAAGTCGACTATATAAACCCATCTTTTTTTCACGGACGACCTTGTCGCGTAGGAATCGCAGCATCCGCGAGAAGGTCAGGATAAAATTAACGTGTGAGGAGTTATATATGAATGCAGAGATCTCGACCGTGCCCGTGAAGTAATTGTTTGAAATACGCGCGAGCGATTCTATATATCCAAGTCTCAAGTCTCCCCCCATGTATTTTCATATAAATATAAAATAAAGTACGTATTTTAAGAGGGAAGACATACGGCCAAATTAGTTTGAAGCGTCACATTACAAGGTAGCAATCTATATTTATTATAAACATACGTATACTTTTCATTATCGGATCGCATTAAAAAAAATATATATATATATATATATAAAATCAATAAATGTATTTAGCTGCGATCGAGTTCAACGTGGGAGTTGAAACGAAAAGAGAAGATAGACGAAGACAAATATCTAATAGTAGAAAACGAGGGGCTTGTGGCTGAGGGATGGACGGAGGGATGGAAAAAAGAAACGACGGCTGGATGTGCATGAAAGGCTTCTCTATGGAGGATTCGCAAATATTTTTGCATCCTGGATGAAACCTCCTCGCGTAAACTGACGCAAAGTGCTTGCTCGTTGTGCTTCATATCGGAGAATGTAAGAGGATCCTCCCGAGTGTGAGCTCCATGAAAGAGAGCGGCGTCGTTTCCCCAGCTTACTCTCTTCCAGCAGTTTGCATGCGGGATATCGTTTCTCTCTCTCTCTCTCTCTCTCTCTCTCTCTCTCTCTCTCTCTCTCTCTCTCTCTCTCTCTTCTTCTTCTTCTTTTTTCATCCTCCTCTGTTTTTAATTCCCGAAAGTATTGCCCGAAAGAAACGTCGCGGACGTACTGTGAGTCTCATTGGGACATCTTTGAGTGATACGGACTTGCGTCTCTACAAATTTTTTGAAACGACG